CTTCTCTTGCTGTCTTTTCATCTTCTCTCTTCCTTTTCTGGGTTGCTGCAGTAAAGACCTAGGAGTGTAAGAGAGTAAAGCAAGTTCGAACCTAGGGTTTYTCTTSGTTGTAGGACTCAAGGGAAGTAAGACCCAGAAGTAGATGTCCTACTAGGTTACTTCCAGCAAGTAGTAGCTATTGGGATACTAAGAGAGGTCTGTATAGGACAGACCTAGTTGAGGACTGATTTCAGCAGTCCTAGCACTAGCCGAAAGGGAGAGTGCTTCCTCTACAGTTGCAGCTTCATGCTCCAGCAAGACTTGTGCATAACAAGTGGTAAAGACTTAGCCTCTTCTACAGTTGCAGCTTCGGTGCATCAGCAAGACTCTTACAGAACTGTGGCAACTTCAGTTACAGATTTTCTTCAGGTCGGTTATCAGCCCTACTTCTGCACTGCACAGTTGCAGCCTTAAACGTTTACCAGCACTGTGAACTGGTTCAGTTACAGACCTTTACTTGCTACTGTACCCAAACTGTGAACACTTCTACCAGCATTGTGAACACTGTGACCACTTCGGCCAGTCCTAAACAGAACCACCTACAGCACTGTGAACAACTCTCGGACTGAAGTCAGGATGTCCTCACTATCCGGTGAAGTTTCCTCTAGAGATAACAGACCTGTYACAAGGTCCTCAAACCTGGAAAACCCTAATCTGCACAGCTTGCAGATTACAAGTGTGTTGTTGGATGAGTATAACTTCAAAGAGTGGTCCGTCTCAGCAATGTTGTTCATTACCTCTCATGGTCTCAAAGGCTATTTGGATGGAGACAAGAAACAACCAGAAATTGGTAGTCCTGAATACACCGTGTGGCGCAAGGAAAATGCCACAGTCATGTCTTGGTTGCTGGCCTCCATGACTCCTAGGATGGCCAGAACTGTTCATCACTTCCCTACAGCCGCTAAAATTTGGGAGAAAGAATCTAAAACATACGGCTAGAAAAAGAACAATGCTAGAATCTACAAGCTGAACCAAGACATTGTAGCCCTAAGGCAAGGAGACATGTCCGTGGCAACCTACTTTGCAACACTGGAAGGCCTTTGGGAAGAGCTTGACCACCAYTTGATTTTGGATTGGGAAAATGCCAATGATAAGGAGGCATGACAAGCAGATTGAGGAGGGCAGAGCCTTCAAGTTTCTGGCGGGTCTTGACCCTGTATATGAAGGTATAAGGTCACAGATTCTAGGGAGAGATGAATTACCTGAGCTTCACCATGTCTACTACCTGGTGAGGAATGAAGAAGTAAGGAGAAAGGAGATGCAAGTTGACTCCCAGACACAGTCA